TCCCCCCCCCCCCCCACTCCAAGGGCCTGGAGACCATGGCTGTATTTTCTAGCTCTCCTTAAGTGTTCCCTTCAACTCGCCTACAGCCTTCCCACCCCTGTTCCCTGGAGCATCCTGTCCATTTGGAGGACCACTGGATTGGAAATAACAGGCTGCCTGCCAGCCCTCTCCTCCCACCAGGGACACATCTGGCCCCTGCCTCTCACCCTCCCAGAGGGACTCAGTCAGGCAGGGAGACAGAGGGGAGCAGGGAGCAGAACAGATCGGGGAAAGCAATTAAAAAGCAGGTCTCAGGGTTAGAGGCTGGAAAGTGGGGGGCAGGCTGAAGCGCCCGGGAGGGTGGGGAGAGGCGGGGAGAAAAAGGGTCCAAGTTTATTAACCCCAGGGCCGCAGCCTGGCCCCTGGGTCTGTGAAGGTGAGTGAGCTGATGCCTCCAACCACGAGCTGACAGCGGCCAGGAAAGAGGAAGGGGAAGGAGTCTGGGGGTTCATCCAGGAGCTGGGCCACTTCCCAGCCACAGGAGTTGGGCACTTCTCACCAGCAGAGCTGGCTTGGCACAGGCTGACAGATGACAGGAGAAGGAACCAGCCAGGGCCTGAGGTAGCCATTCTCCGGCTAAAAGGGGAGACAGTCCCTGCCCTCAAGGAGCTCCTGTCTGACGGTGAACCATGAGTGCTTGCATCAGGGAGCTCCCATCCAAGAAGAGAGGGTGTCCTGAGGGACCATATTGTTAGGGAGACTCCATTCTGATGGAAAGATATAGGTCCTAACATCAGGAAGCCCCTATCCATGGGGCCCCTCTCCTTGGGAAGCCTCAGGCTGAGGTGCAGGAGAGACCCACTCCGATGGGACATGTTGACACACTAAGATCTTCTCACAGTGGAGCGGGCGACTCGATCTGCGGGTCGTGAGTTCGAGCCCCACGTTGGGTGTGGAGCCTACTTGAGAAAGATAAAATAAAATATAAAAACACCAGAGCTTCTCAAGCCAATGGAGTTGTGGGCCTCAAGTCTACGGCTGGGGAAGGGCAAGGATGGAGGGACAGAGCCCCTGGGGGGAGTCAGGGAGGCGGGAAAGCAAGCTGGGAACTGCTACTCCGGGGTAGTCAGAGGTAATTCACACCTGTCTCCTGGCAGCCCCAAAGCCACACACAACTCGTGGTCTGGGGGCAAATGGTGTTGCCTCCTATGCTCTCTTCACTGGCTGGTGCCCCCTGTGTCCTCTCCATACTCCCAGGTAACTGTCCTGGGGAGGTACCTATACACTGTCCCTTCCCCACCCCCAGTGGAGCTAACAAGACATGCCAGCGCCCCCTGGAGGACCCAGCTCTGGCCCCTCTAGGCCCGCCCCATTGCTAACGTGTAAATAGGTAAAGCACCAGGGACGTGTTATTAAATGGAGTCTATGGTTTGTAGAGCAACTGCTGTGTCCGGCTTTCACTGACTTTATCCTCACAGCCACCTTGGAAGTAAGTGCGGCGAGTCCCCATTTTACAGGTGTGGAAATGGAGACTCGGAGAAAGTTCGTGAAGTCATCCAAGATCACATAGCCATTGAATGCCCATGGCCTTGCTCTCCTCTAGAGGGCACTGTCATAGCAGTTAGAAGCAACTCAAGAGAATAAATGGAGTGATCCCTCTGGGTGATACAAATGTGGGTTTTAGAAACTCTACCCACAGCTGTGAGACCCATGTTCTCTCCTCTGCGGCGCCCTGCTGTTTCTTGAACCTGGGCAGCTGCGCAGTGCCATCTAGTGGCCACCAGGGCCTGGTTCCCTTCCTCGGGGTCGGGGCCCACATGGGATGGATGGACTCAGTAGTGGCCAAGGAGTCCACCAGAGAGACCCAAGTTCTCTTCATCCCACCCACGCTTGCTGACTGCCATGCTGTGCCAGGCACTGAGAACTGGGCAGGGGCACAAGGAGAGCCAGTGGGCAGCAGTCTAGTGGCTTGAATTAGAAGCTGGCAAATTTAGAAAACGCTAGGCATCTGGTGTGTGGGTTGAGGCCAGGTGTGCTATTGATCTGTCCCAGGAGGCACTTGGGCCCTGTAAGCAGGAGGGCATCCTGGCAGATTCTGACACAGGGGAGGGGCATAGGGGGTGGGAGACCATCTTGTCCCCACCTTGGCTTGAAGTGGGGGCACATCTTGGCTGAAGGCCCTGCAGAGGGACATCCAGGCATCCTCTCTCCAAGGCCTGCAGCTTTCTGTTGTCTATCCAGAAATCAGTCTAGGGATTGGCTTGAGGTTTCGGATGGTGAGGCCCTTAGATTAGGGAGGCAAGAGAGGAGGGGCCGCAGAGATGGGGCCTCAGCCAGGCCAGAAGGATGGGAGTAGTGGGGGATGTTGGGAGCTGCATGTGTTTGAAGCAACTGGGCTGCATAGTGGGATCTAGAACAGAGAGAGGGAGAGAGAGAGGCGGGGCGGGGGATGAGTGTGTGTCTAACAATAAAGCTTGGGCAAATGAATGCATACAGTGGAGAGCCATGCAGCTGTTAAGATGATGATGTAGATAAATATTTATTGATATGTAAAGATGTTCACAACATATTGCTGAGTAAAAAAAAAAACAAATTACAAAATAATTTGTACGGCATGAGCCCACTTGTAAAAAAAAAAAACAAGAATTTATAGATGTGGGGGGAAATCTGGTAGTGTTTATTATCTCCAGGTGGCAAAATCATGGCTAATTGAACTTTTTTGTTTTGCTTATCTGTGTTTTCTGATTTTTTCACGATGAATGTGTGATATAAAATAATGAAAGTTTGGCAAATGACCACAACCAGCCTGGGTCTTGTGTGGACATCTTCGGATGGTTAAGGGCTGGGCGTGGGGGATGGGTCTAGGGTCAGATGGAGGTTGAAGATGGAGCGAGAAGCCTGGGTGACACAGGTCCAGGGCAGGTGGCCGAAGCGGGTGAAGGGGGGCCTCCTTCTGCTGCTGCCCAAGTGCTGTGTCACACACACACAGGTGCGATTCAGTGAGCCTCACTGCCAAGCCCTTCCTGCTCTTGTGACATCTTTTCCCTCCAAGATGGCTTTGCACTCCCTTCAACTAGATTTTACTGGAACGGAGAGAGAAGTCCGCACACTGTGACTTGCCCGGCAAGCTGGAAGGACAGCCGCTCCCAGACACAGAGAATAGTGGGGACGAGGGTTTGCCCTCAGTCTTGTTCTTCTTGTAATGTCCCCTGACCTTTCCCAGCTCCCCAATCCTCAGCAGGATCAAAAGTCATGGGGCGTCCCCTCCTCAAGATTTCCCTTCCCATGTTACTGCTCAGGTCCAGGATCAGGTGTGGCTGAAGACTTAGGGACCCTCGCCTCCCCTCTCTGTGCTGGGACTCACAGGGGAAACCTCGGCAAGCAGCCCATAACATGCCCGAATGGAGAGCATCTACCCAGTGTGGGGTAAGAGGCATTGCCCGGACTGGAGCTCAGGGGTGTGAGCGGGCTCTGGGAGCTGGCGAGGGGGCAGGCAGCCAGGCCTTGTCTACAGAGCTGGAGACCTGGCAGAGCTGGACTGGCCGCCCCCTGCCACCCCAGGGCCTTCTCCTTGTGCCCACTGAATGACTCACCTTGGCACAGACACAATAGTCAGGGATGGGCACAGAGCCTGCTCCCCACTGCACCCCAGCCCCCTCAGATGCTTCCGAGAAGCTCTTTGAGCTGGGGGCTTGGGCTGTACTCTGCCTAACAGCCTGGCATCTTGGGATAAAGACAACACAGCCCCCCAGGGGCTGCCCTCTCTGAGTGGCGCCCTGACCAGTGGTGGAAAACAAGGCTCTATTCAGCAAGTGCCCAGGAGAAGGGATCAGAGGCCCAGGCATGGGCATGGGCAGCAGGGGGGTGGGGAGAGGAAGGCTGCCCGCTTCCCAGAAGTCCAAGGACACAGATGAGTGAGGGGCCTGGGTGAGGCTCTGGCCCTGAGGGATCAGAACAGAAGCGGGGGGTGGATCTGAAGCGTCAGGCTATAGGGCGCAGGCCCTGGGCTACCTAGTATGGGCCCAGCGGCTCCTGGGTTCCCAAACTGACCCATCCCCAGAGACCTTTCCCATCCTTTCAGCCAGATGCGTGGGAACTCGAAGGAGATAAATCTCCAATGTGAAAGTGAGGTGAGGGGTGGCTAGAGAAACAGGGTGATGTAGGAACAAAGACAGGAGCCGGGACAGCCAGCTCATCCATAACTGCTTTGTGCAGCTGTCAAGGCCGGCTCCGGGCAGGGGTGCAGAGAGGCTGAGCAAGGGGGACAGGAGTCCGGTGGGACCGAGGCAGGAGCTTAAGTGTGGCCCAGGGAGAAGGCCAGGGAATGCAGCCTCTGCCTCTCTTGCCCCCTCGGGGGTTCCACGTTCCCTCCATCACCCCCCCCCCCCCCACTGCTAGACAGGGACTTTCACTGACCTTCTAGACAAAGGGCTGGTGTCCAACTGCAGCCCACAGCCCCAGACTTTCAGGGAAAGGGGAGAAAGCAGGAACGTGGGATGCCTGTGTTCCGAGGGGAGGAGTCCAACAGTCTGCTAGGAATGGGGCTAGGCAGGAAACTGTAACTGGAGGCTGCTTCTGGAGGCTGTGGAGGAACTGGGTTTGTTCTTTGCCAAAGTCCCAGCACTTAGCGGCCACTTGAAGCGGGAGTGCTGAGTAGGGAAGGCCTGGGTTATGGGATCTCAGAAGTGGAAAGCAGGTCAGAGGTCATCTGGTCCAGCTCTTTCTTGGCCCACTTTCCCAGAGAAAGGGCCTCCTCACCCAGTGGTCAGGGCCCCAGACCCAGCATCCGGCCCCAGGCACTGCCCACTAGTACCTCTGTCTGTGTCCGGGCTGGGGCTGGCGTGCCCAGGAGGCCCTGCCTCTGGGCACAGTGACCTCGGTGGGGTGAGAAGAGCTCTCCCCATGGCCGAGCTGTCACCCAGCCCCTCCCCCTCAGGCTATGCCAGGGGGCGTTGCCAGGGGCAGCTTGGGCGGTGCCAGGCCGGCCCACGCCTCCATAAAGCCGTCGCTTCCCAGGAGCGGACAGAGCTGGGCCAGCATGGAGAGGAGACGGGTCACCTCAGCCGTTCGCCGCTCCTACGTCTCCTCCTCGGAGATGGTGGGGGGAGGCCTGGCCTCCGGCCGCCGTCTGGGGCCGGGCACCCGCCTCTCCCTGGCTCGGATGCCGCTTCCGCTCCCGGCCCGGGTGGACTTCTCCCTGGCCGGGGCCCTCAACACCGGCTTCAAGGAGACCCGGGCCAGTGAGCGGGCAGAGATGATGGAGCTCAATGACCGCTTCGCCAGCTACATTGAGAAGGTGCGCTTCCTGGAGCAGCAGAACAAGGCGCTGGCTGCGGAGCTGAACCAGCTGCGGGCCAAGGAGCCCACCAAGCTGGCCGACGTCTACCAGGCTGAGCTGCGGGAGCTAAGGTTTCGGCTCGACCAACTCACCGCCAACAGCGCCCGGCTCGAGGTCGAGAGAGACAATCTGGCGCAGGACCTGGGCACCCTGAGGCAGAAGTGAGGAGCGGGTCCAGGGAGAGGGACCACATGAACAGGGAAGATGCCCCCCGCCAGCTCCAGCAGGAGTGACTGTGGGCCAGCCGGGTCTCGGGCAGGGGGCTCTGCCTCCATGGTCCTCGGCCCCTCTGTTGCCCCACCTCTGGGAGGCAAGGGCTGTCCTCGCTCCCCAAGATGACCGGAGGGCCCTGGGAGGGGGCTTAGAGTCTCAGGGACCTGATTCCCAAAGACCTCTTTGCACCTCCCCACTGGGTGGGGAAAGACCCACCCAAAGACCCCTTTGCACCTACCTCCCCACTGGGTGCACTCTCAGCACCTCCCCACTGGGGCAAGCTCTGTGGGAAGAGTCAGGGACCCCACAGGCAGGGTCTCTGCACTTCATTCACGGCAGGGCCTGGTGGCCTTGTGGAGCCCAGGTCCGTACAGAGGAGGAACGGGAAAAGAAGACTGGTGCGCACTAGGGGGACTGGGCTCTGGGGGAAAGGAGGTGAGGGAGAGAGCAGGCAGGCCTGGCTTCAGAACACAGGTGATGCTGCCTGTCACCTGCTTATGACCCTGGTCAGGCCACTTCAGCTTGCAGAGCTATGAAGCAGAGATTCTAATAAAACTCATTTCCAAAAGTCAGAGGAAACCCCAGGGACACGGTGTTTTGCTGAGCTGGCAGGGCATGCGTGTGTGCCCTCAAGTGCAGGAGGATGAGTGTGTTTGTGCATGCGGCAGTGAGTGTGCGCCGGCAGAGGGGCCTGTGTGAGCAGGAGCAGGTGCACCAACCTCGATAAGGCACCTCAGTAATGAGTTAAAGCAAAGGCCCTTGTCTGCTCACCCTCCTGGTCAAGGCTCTGTCTAGGACCCTCTGTCCCTCACTTCTCTTGCCATTCCACTGGTCCTGGGGGTGGGGGGAGGGGGTAGAGGGTCTCTCTGGCAGCCACCTCCAGGGAGACTGGGGCAGGGGTCCAAGATCCTCAGAAGAGCCTGGACCCAGGAATGTGTCCCCTTACCCCAGGCTCCAGGATGAAACCAACCTGAGGCTGGAGGCTGAAAACAACCTGGCCACCTATCGACAGGTCAGGGGGGTGGGAGGGGCAAGGGAGGGGGGTAAGGGGTTGAGGGCAGCTCACCCAAGCACAGCCCCCAAGCCCAGCCCTCCAGAGCAATGTGCTGCTCTCCCCAGCCACAGAAGGTGGGATCAGACAAGGCTAGGGAGTGGGGAAGAGGAGTCTGGGGTCCCAGCAGCCTTTTGCACCCTCCCTACTCCAGGAAGCAGATGAAGCCACCCTAGCCCGTCTGGATCTGGAGAGGAAGATTGAATCTCTGGAGGAGGAAATCCGGTTTTTGAGGAAGATCCATGAGGAGGTAAGGCCAACACCGAGGTTGAAGCCGATGGAGACAGAGAGGGTGAGATTGAGAAATACACAAAGACAGACAGAACAAAAGTGAGAGAGACAGAGAGACAGAGAGACAGACAGGCTGAGGGAGACAGAGACAAGAGAGCATCCTCAGCCCCTGGTAAGATTCTCACACACTCACCCCACTTGCTGAGAATCATAACAGGCCTTGTCTCTCTCATTTTTTATTTCACTACAGCCCCGTGAGGTAGGAACCCTTCCAGTACTATCTCCTTCTCACAGAGGAGGAGACTGAAGCCCAGAGAGGTTAAAGAACTTGCTGAGGTCACACAGTCAGTCTCTCTGACATCACCCCCACTGCCACCTGTCTCCATTTAAGTGAAAGCTATTTATTTATTTTTTTTTAAATTTTTTTTTTTCAACGCTTATTTATTTTTGGGACAGAGAGAGACAGAGCATGAACGGGGGAGGAGCAGAGAGAGAGGGAGACACAGAATCGGAAACAGGCTCCAGGCTCCGAGCCATCAGCCCAGAGCCTGACGCGGGGCTCGAACTCACGGACCGCGAGATCGTGACCTGGCTGAAGTCGGACGCTTAACCGACTGCGCCACCCAGGCGCCCCTAAAGCTATTTATTTTTAAAAGACACCACTGAGCTCTGACTTCAGATTACGGATTAGGAATCCACAACTCCATGGAACCTGGAAACCCACAGGCACACTTGCAGTGCTCCTGCCTGGCCAAACCTGGGAGGACCATGAGGCCCCCAAATGACCCTCTGCCTCACCTAGCCCGTGCCATGCCACTGCCTCTAACTAGGACTGTCCCATTTCCCTTAGCCAATGTCAGGGTCCACGGGGCAGGCAGACAAGGGCATAGCATTGTGGGGAAACCCCAGCTGCGGCCTGGGCCCAAGCCCTGGCATCCCTTCTCTCATCCTGGCCAGGAGGTGCAGGAACTTCAGGAGCAGCTGGCCCGGCAGCAGATCCATGTGGAGATGGACGTGGCCAAGCCGGACCTCACGGCAGCCCTGAGAGAGATCCGCACGCAGTACGAGGCAATGGCGGCCAGCAACATGCATGAGGCAGAGGAGTGGTATCGGTCCAAGGTAGCCCTGACTGTGGGCCAGCCTGCCTCCTCCAGGCAGCCCTCCTGGCTCCATACAAAAGAATGGGGGAATGGGGTGGAGAAGGCTGGGAGAGGATCCTCTTCGGGTGATTGACCTTCACCAGAGACGTGAGGTGGCTTCCCCAGGGCCACACAGATGTCATAACTTCCAATAAGTACTTATCATGACTGTTAATTATCATTATTACTGTTCCTGCTACTATTATTGCTAGCCAACATTGTTGTATGCCAGGCCCTGTGCTTTGCAGGCATTATCTTACTCACTATGAAGAAGGTACTATTCTTTGACAGATGAGAGAATTGGAGTCCAGAGAGGTTAACTAATTTGCCCAAAGTCACACGGTTCCTAAATGGTAGAACTGGGTGTCTAACCCTACCCATTGCCCTTGGGAGCCTTCATTCTTGATGCCTCTGTTGTGTCCTGGGTTACTGAGCATCCACTGCCTGTCAGCACTCCCCAGGACACAGAGACATGTTCGACCAGGGAGATGTGATGTGCACCCAAATATGGTGTCCAGAGAGAACACTGCTGGGCAGAGTTTATATGCGGGTGGGTGGATATTGTCGAAGGGAGGGCATTTGGGCTCGGCAAGACTAGCAGCCTAAGGACCTGAAGAGAAGAGGGAAGGGGTATTCTGAGTGCAAGAAAGCACGGAGGGGCAGTGGCCCGGGGATGCTAGTCCAGGGTCCAAGCTGAGGAGTATCAGTGGCAGAAGCCAGTGATGGTTCTGGGCAGGTCAAGGCCTGATGGAGCCATGAGAGCTTCACTCCAAGTTGGGGGGAGAGAGGGCTATTAGAACCTGGGGTTCTGCTCACCAGAACCCCCTGTCCACAGCAGAGGAGGACAGCGTTCAGGCTCCTGGATAGAGCTGCCAACCCAGGAGATTCTGGATTCTGTGGCAAATACCATCTGTTCAGTTGTCCCCTGCCCAAGCACTGTGCTCAGTGAGGGAGACCTACAGGGCGTTGTGTGCCCTCCCTCCCTGGGTCTCCGTCTATGGGAATAATCCCACCCAGAGCCAAAGTCCTGGGGGAGACCTGGACACCAAGCCTGGGGTCCTGCCCATCTCCCTGATTTCCCAGAGACCATGCCTTCCCACCCGCCCAGCCGTGCGCCCCAGACGTGCAGCCCAGCCGCGCCCCCGCTTAGGATCCTCTCCCCACTAGTTTGCAGACCTGACCGACGCCGCAGCCCGCAACGCTGAGCTGCTCCGCCAGGCCAAGCACGAGGCCAACGACTACCGGCGCCAGCTACAGGCCTTGACCTGCGACCTGGAGTCCTTGCGCGGCACAGTGAGCGCGGGGCCTCAGCGGGTGTGGGCAAGCCGGAGGGGGGACCTGCAACCCTTGCAGCCTTGCAGCCTGGAGAGAAGGGCCAGGGGCGGGCACCAGGACTGAGGGCTGGGGCTCTGAAAAGTTACTTGGCGGTTGGGGGGGGGGGGGGGCAGAGGCAGGGTAGGGGTCCTGGCTGGGATGGGTGGGGGTGGTGTGACTCTACCCCGAGGCACCAGCCCGCTCCACCCACAGAACGAGTCCTTGGAGAGGCAGATGCGGGAGCAGGATGAGCGCCACGCACGGGAGGCGGCAAGTTACCAGGAGGCACTGACCCGGCTGGAGGAGGAGGGGCAGAGCCTCAAAGACGAGATGGCAAGGCATCTGCAGGAGTACCAGGACCTGCTGAACGTCAAGCTGGCCCTGGACATCGAGATCGCCACCTACAGGAAGCTGCTGGAGGGCGAGGAGAACCGGTGAGCCCTAGGGAGTCAATCCTCCCTGCTGCCCCTCCCTGGTCTCTCCTTGCTCCTTTCAGGGACTGCCTTATACAGCCTGCGTCCAGTCCCCTCCTATCCCCGTACCCAGCACAGTGCTGGCCTAACACACAGTTATATTCCATAAATGTTTGGTGAATGAATGAATGCATTCAGTTCAATCCATGAGATCCCAGGGCAAGGACTTGGGTCACCCCCCAAACTAAAAGGCTCACTCCCCACCCTCCCAATGAAGACTGAACTTCTTTTCCCTCGACTGACCTCTTTTGCCTCCTCGGAACTTTCTTCACCACTTCCTCCTCCCTTCTGCCATCTTCTGGGCCTCCACTGTCCTTCCAAAAGACACGTTCCCCTCCCAGACAATACCCCAGCCCCCTGCAGACTCTTGCAGCCCCAGAGAGCATGTTGGCTGCTGGGGAAATCCAGGAGATGGGCTGAGCCTTTCCTGGCAAGGAGAAGGGCCTCAGGCTGTCACGATAACCCTGGACCGGGACCTGACCTGGGGATGACCTTGGGCAGCCCAGTCACTCTTCTCCCTTTGCTGTGTTTCAGCATCACTATTCCCGTGCAGACCTTCTCCAACCTGCAGATCCGAGGTCAGTAGAGCAGGGCCCTGTGGGCAGGGTGTTGGATTCCCGCTTCCTGCCCCGTGTGGGCTGCTGCTCTGGCGTGGGGCCAAGGACCAGGGCATAGGGGCCCAGGGGGCCTTCATAATTCACCACAGAGCTTCCAGCCAGAACACAGTATCCCAGGGCATTCCAGGTGGGGCCCGCAGCTGCTCCTGTCCTGCTCTGCCCTGTGTCCTGCTCCCTAACCCTGCACCCCATCCTATAGCAGAACCGGGTGAAGGTCTCAACCTCTGTCCTATCCGCAGATCCCTGAGCAAGCTCTGCTCCTCTCAGTGTTTTATGTTTATGTTTTTGTTTTTTAACTGCTTGTCACTACAGGGGGCAAAAGCACCAAAGAAGGGGAAAGTCACAAGGTCACAAGACATCTCAAAAGGCTCACAATACAAGTTATACCAATACAGGCTCACCAGATTGTAAATGGAGCCCCGCCGGCTCTCGGTTAGCAGCCTGCCTCTCAGACACAGTGCTTTTCTCAGCTTGTCGGGGAACGAGCCTCACCAAGCCCATTTTCCCTGCCCTCTCGGGCTTCCTCCTCCCAGGTTTTTCCCTAAAGGGCCAAACTTGTGTCATTTTCCCAGCAACCTCAGTGCCCAGCCCAGGACCTGGCACAGAGTAAATGTAGGTTAAACTAGCAGAGCTGGCTGGTGTTCAAAGTGATATGTCCTCTGGTGCTCAGATGAGATGCTCTGGGGCCTCTGAACAAACGCCAACCTCTGCCTTTCCTCTTCCTCATCACCGGGAGGCCCCTAGGGTCTTGCTGTGCCCAATGGCCAGGTTCTCTGCTTGATTCGTCTGTCCCCAAGGCTCCATGGCTCAGCTCAGGGCTGATTCAGCCCAGAGGATCATTTCCCCCTGGACTGCTGCTCTCGTAGTGGATAAAGTTTTATGCTCCCTGCTCTTAATTTTAAATATTAGTGTGACATGTTACATTTTCCTCTCGGGGGGGAGGGGGGACCTAAATGACTTCTTACTTGTAAGTGGCCCTCAAATGATTCTTGTCTAAGGAAAAAAAAAATCTTCTGCTCCAGAAATTTAGGAACACTAGATATGTGTATCCCCCAGGGCTTAGTTCAGTATCAGAAGTTTAACCAGGCAGAGTGGGTCGTCGAGGTAATATTGCCAGGTGCCAAACAGTAAAGGGTCAGTAGGGCCCAGAGAATTGGCAGAGGGAAGTAGAAGAGGGGAACAGGAACGGGAAAGGGACCCACGATTATTGAGCACTAATAACATGCTAGTCACTTAACATACATTATTTCAGTTAAAGGACTCCTCATTCCCACCTAGAGAAGTAGACCCCATCATCCCCATTTTGCAGATTAGGAAACTGAGGCTGGAAGAGGTAAATTAACTTGCCCACAGTCTTGTGGCTGAGCTGGGACTTGAGGTCTGGCCTGCCTGATTTCAAAGCTCATGTGCTCCTTCCTTGGCACAGTGCTGGGTGGTCAGAAAGCCAGGTGCCAGGTGACGGCTTGCAGAGGGACTGAAATGCAGCCAGGCCAGGAAAGTGAGCAGAGCACTGGATGGAGCATCCAGGCCTTGCTTAGCACCATGGGGACTTTGGGGGTCTTCATCCCCTTTGAAAAAGCCTAGGCCCGGGGCACCTGGGTGGCTCAGTCAGTTGAGCGTCCGACTCTTGATTTCAGCTCAGGTAATGATCCCAGGGTCATGGGATCAACCTCCACATTGGGCTCCACACTGAGTGTGGAGCCTGCTTGCATTTCTCTCTCTCTCTCTCTCTCTCTCTCTCTCTCTCTCTCTCCCTCTCTCTCCCCCTCTGCCCCTCTCCCTGGCTTGTGCTCTCTCCTCCTCTCTCTAAAATAAAAATAATATTTGAGGAGCGCACCTGTTGGGATGAGCACTGGGTGTTGTATGGAAACCAATTTGACAATAAATTTCATATTAAAAAATAATAACATAAAATTTAAAAAATAATAATAATGAAGGATCCTAGGCCCTCTCTGCCTGGTTGGGATAGACTTTCATACTCAATCCTCATGATTGTGGGTTTCATAGAGAAGTTGGGGGTGGGGGAAAATGTCTAGTGACCCAAGAGCCCACAGGCCTCTTGTCCCCATGTCTGCAGAAACCAGCCTGGACACCAAGTCCGTGTCAGAAGGCCACCTTAAGAGGAACATTGTGGTAAAGACCGTGGAGATGCGGGATGGAGAGGTAAGGAGGGCAGGCCTGAGACTCTGGCCCCATCAGGCTCTGGCTGCCTCCAGGAATTTTCGAAGCCAGGCTTTGGAAAAAAGCCTGAACTGGCACAGAGAAGGTTCTCAATCACTCGGAAAAGCTTCCCAGGGAGGCTCTGGAAGAGGGGAAGGAACCTGGATGTAATTCAGTTCCCTATCCCTTCCACTGGCAGTTCTAGGGAGCCTGGGTGCCTAGGCACTGACGGGTCTTCCCCCGTCTCACCCTGACTCAGATGCCCCCAGCACCAGGCCTGGGGGAGAGAAGAAGAAAATTAAAGTTAGCAGTTTTCACTCCCATCTTTCAGTCTGCAGCTTGATAAAAGGAACCCGCCAAAGGAAAGGGAAGAGGGGATTTGGCACAACCGCCTTGCCATCATGCCAGCAACAGTACTGGCTAATCTTACCATACCAGGCCACCATGTGCCAGGCATGGTGCTAAGTGCTTACAGGTGTTACCTCATTTCCTGACAAGTGCATGGGAGAATTCTGGTTCCCAGCATAGAAAAGAAAGACCCAGGAAAGCTGGGGACTTGTCTAAGGTCACATAGCCTAGCGGTAGTGGGCCTGATGTCTGTGTGGGCCCCTAACTAATGTGCTGTGCGCTTCTCTGTCCCCTGCAGGTCATTAAGGAGTCCAAGCAGGAGCACAAGGATGTGATGTGAGGCAGGACCCCCAAGGTGGCCCCTACCCGATAGTGTGAGAGGCCTGAGCAGGAGATGGGATTGCTGTCCCCGTCTCGGATAGCTGATTTCCCCAGACCCAAGTTCCCACCCACCCCAGCTGTTCCCCTCATCCCTCGGTCTCTATGCCAGCTCGCTGCCCTAAGCTCTGTCAGTACTAGGCCTGCACCCCCTGCCCCCTGCACCCAGTAACTCCAACTAACAAGGCACTCACCCCAAAGGGTGAGCAGCTTGGGTTAGAACTAGGAGGAAGGAGAGAAGTGGGGGAAGGTAGGGGCCCCAATAAATCACCTGGATTTCCCTACTCCCCGTTGTCATGGCAACTGTTGGCGGAGCCAGAGGTCCCTGAGGGTACCTGGGAAGTGGACCTTTGAGTGTCCTCGGGCTGCTGGAGAAGAAGGAGACCCTGGGACAGGAAAGGGAAATCCCCACAGAGGTTTCTTCTTCTAGACTGACCCTGAGCAGTCTGAGAGTGGGTGGGGCCATCCTGCCACCTGGAGTAATCACCGAACAGAATACCTGGCCTGCCCAGATCCCAGAAGGGCCTCCTGGGTGATGATTCAAGTGTCTCAGTCCCACTGAGCTGCCACGTGGGCACCCTGTCGGCATGCCATGGGCATGTGGGAGCTTGATTCTCAGGACTTGGGGGATCTATAGTGTAAGTGGAGAGGGAAGGGGTGCTGAGAAGGAGTAGAGGGGAGCTGCTTGACCTCTAGGTTGGGTACAGAGAGGTCAAGCCCAGGAGTCCTCCCTCCATAATGCTGGAGGGGAGGCAGGTGGAGATGGTGGAGGCCATTGGGATGATGCTAGACATCAGAGATGGGGGTTGTGGATGGCCAGTTACACTTGGCCTCTGGGTTGTGGGAATCATGGAAGTGACTCATCCCCTTGAAAATGCTGAAATAAGAGAGAGGGGGGCTGCTGGCCCCGGGGGCAGGGCACACCTTGTCCCAGTTCTAAAGGCTCCTTTCTTGCTGCATAATCCCTCCACCCAACCTCTAAGCCAACGCTGCTGCTGCCTCCAGACCCCAGCAAAGGCTGCTGAGTGAAGCCACTGCCACATATCTGACATTCTCCACCCTCCATGACCCACTGCTTTTCCCTAGCCCAAGCGCCTTTTATCAAATACAAAATGTATCCCCATATTGTAGGTAGCACCCTATTTTATAATTTAGAAAATGGGAGGCATGAGCAGAGTAAAGGCTCTGGTTTGTGTTCCTGCAGTCTGGAGGTGGGGCAGTGCAGGGCAGACACTTCCACCCAGAGCACCTGCACCGCTCCATGGGAAGATTGGGGTTGGGGTGGGCAGGCACAGGACTCTCTGTGTCCGGAAACAGGGCTGAGAGGGCCTGCTCCATGGTCCCCCTCACCCCGTTAAGGCCAGAGAAGTGAGAGTCCCTCCCTTTTTCTAAGACCTGGTGCCCTTTCCCCCTCCCTCCCAGCCACCCACTGTTGCTAACCTTCAACCTTGAGGGCACCATGCAGCCTTTAGTCACTGAAGTAAATAAAGACATTTGCTATGTCCTTCCCGGGAGTGGACTCAGATCTGTTCAGGAGAGGCTGGGGCTGGGGAAGGGGGCAGGAAGTAGCCTTGGACAAGATTCAACTTGCTTCTTATTACTGATCATCTTGAGACCCCAAACCCCATTTGTGGCAGCAGTCACAGGACAAATCCCACCTCCAATCCTGCTCCACATGGCAGCCCTGGTGCCCTTCCCCCCTCCCCCCTCCATCCCTCTACCCCTCTTCTCACCCAGTCCCCAGTCCTGGGAAAGCCCTAACTTTGACCTCCACTTTCCTCCTGCATTTTTCCCCATTCTAGTTTTTACCTTTATTCCTAAACCTGACATTTCTACCTGCCAGTCTGGGGTCAAGGTTGAGGAGGAAGGGAAAGAGGACAGGTACTAGGCTCCCTTTTCCTCTCCCTGCTGCCCCCAATTCAACCAGTACCCACTGGGCAATCCTCGAAGGCAAGAAAATAAAGCACCTCAAACACGATGCCAACATCAAAAAGGCTGTTTGATAAATATTACATTCACTTCTTCCTTCTCTGAGCATGATGTCAGAAGACGTGCACTCTGGCCACTTCTGTACCGGCCTCAGTCCCCTGTCTCCTACCTGCCTCAGGCTTCCCCACTTGCCAAGGAGCAGGTTGTAACTAACAGATTTATCCACACCCCCACCCCTTGCCACACGTCCCAGCCCAGGATGCCCACCCAGAGGCATCCGGTATCATTTAACAGACACATCTGAGTACAACTGGTCTTCAGAGCTGGGGAAGAGGGGGGCCTAGGGGGAGAAGTTGGGACAACAGCGAAATAAGTAACAGCAGCAACGACAGAGGTGAATGGCGACAAAGACTGCCGTGATGAACAGGTAGCCTATCAGGGTCAGTTCCACGGCGGAGCGAGTCTCAGGGTCCGAGAATGAGGGCCGGTAGCGGCCTTGAGACGTGACACCCAGTCGGAACCCAGCGACCTGCACCCCCTGCCGCCAGCAATAGTAGATGCCCCGGTCACTTAGCTGGGTGAAGCGGATGTGGAGATGGTTGCCGTGGTCGATGAACACCCTCATGGACCTGTTGACGCCCTTCAGGTACTGCGTTCGGTAGAGGTACTGGCGGTCCTTGTCCCAGGCCACGGCGTGCTCCGGCCGGGCCCCGGGACAGGAGATGATGAGTCCGTGGCCCAGCCTCTGCTGGTGGAACTGAATGGGCACCTGGGGCACCCAGGGCCGGCTGCCCACTTTGGACACGTAACTGAAGATGGCCATCACGCCCTGCTGGGTCGTCTTCTTCTCACAGGGCACCACGCAGCTCTGAACCAGTAGCTCGGGCGTATGCTCCCTGGCCATGGCCCGAAGCTTCCAGGGCACGGCCTGCGAACCACAGGACACCACATCGGGCAGCGTCTTCTGGTAGCGTGGGGAGAGATCTGGGCTCCTCAAGTAGCAGAGGCCAATGCGCCACTGCTCCCCACGGACCCCACAGCGGTCGCAGGGGGTCCACTCCCAGAAGGCGGTGAAGATGTGGAGGCTCCCACGGTGCTCGTCTGCAAAGGGTTCCTGGCCCAGGTCCTTGAAGGTGGCCACCATTCCCTCACCGCTCTGGATGTCCACATCATAGGCATAGAAGTAGTCCCCCTTGCGGGTGCCACAAAAATACAAGCCCGAGTCCTCGGGCTGGGCCCGGAAAACCAACAGGCTGAACATGCGGATGCTGAAGCGGACCAGCATGTCACTGCCCACGCGCGCCTGGGTTTCCTCTGTCAGCACCCGCCCATCGAAGTCTGTCAGCACTTTGGTGTGGCTGCTCCCTAGGTGTTTTTGATAGTACCAGACTACAGCAGACACCTCCTCAGGCTTGCAGCGGCAGGGAAGCTCAAAGCTCATGTCTGCCAGGTAGGCTGCGTTGTCAAATATCAGAAAAGCGGGGCAGGGGGTCCTCTGAAAGATGTCCTCTTTCTCCATGATTTCAAAGGCCTGGAGACTCCCCCACACCCACAGGAGCACCGTGGTGTGGGCCAGGTTCATGCCTGCAGGAGGCAATGGTCAGAGGGGGCAGGGCAAAACCAAGGCACTAAAGGTCTGGGCTTCTAGAAATCACTGTCAGGGTGAGAAAGGATTGGGCAGCCAGGAAGAGAAGCAAGAGTCTGCAGAGAAAGTGGCCAAAGGCCAGGCAATTTATTCCTAGCTGATGTACAGGATGCCCTTCTCCTGTTCCAGATAGGATCGTGAGGGAAAACCATTCTAGAACCTGGTCCTCTCCCCATTCTAGAACGCTGGCACTCACTCAAGAATGGGTCAGGGGAAACCGGAATGAGAAGTGCTAGAACAGGAAAATCTCTGCCTTCCTGCTCTAGGCCCTGCCTGGGTGCTTGGTGGAAAGGTTTTCTCTTTGGTTAATCCAGGAGTTGAGGAAAACCCACCTGCCTGCACATCTGGCCAGATGTGCAGCTTAGGAGGCTGGCCAGACCTAACCTGATTGCTTGGGGCTTTCCCAGGCCCAACCTGTACAGGAATTCAGTCCCTGAGGAAAATACCTTACTTCAAAGGAGGTAGCCTTTGATTATTTGTCGATTAAACGTCCAATCATTTGTTGGGGTATTCTTGTTAAGAGCTATGGAGATCAGTGTTTGTTTACCACAGAAGATTAATGATTTTGGTTTTTCCTTTTTTTTTTTTTTTTTTTTTTTTGAGTGGGGGCTTTAACTGATATAGCCAGCATCTGGTTGGGCCCACACTCATCTCTCATGGCCGTGGGCTAGGGGGTTGGCAGAGGAAGGGTGGGAAGCAAAACTCTTTCAAGTTCTTAGGCCCTTGACCATCCTGCTGATCTACATAGTTCAGAATACTGAGCCACCAAGGGGCTGGAAAAGTCAGGAAGATTCGATTCTTTTATTTGCTCTGAAAATTCCAAGCTGAGAAGGAAATCAGGTGTGGGCTTCTCATTACAGTCCTGCAGAGCCCCCAGGACAACAAGCAGAAAAAGCCTCCAGTGACCACTGGGGGGCTCTGGAGGCAACTGGTCCGGTCAATCCACCTGGTACACCCCCAGCAACTCTTGCAAAAGCCTTTCCTCCTCCTGGATCTCACCAGGCTGCTCCTCCAGACCCCGCTCCTCCTCCTGGCCGAGCCCCTCCTCCTCCTCTGTGGGTCTGAGAGTACTCATGGCCTGCAGCTTCTGAAACAGGCCTCTGCAGGCCTCTCTCTCCACCTGGCTCAGCAGGCTCAGGTTCAGGGTGAAGCGCCTGGTGCTGGCCAGGCTGCGCAGGATCCCTAGCACCACCAACCGGTCGGTTGGCCTCACGTGTTCGGCCAGTGCCACCAGCAGCTCCCCTAGAAGTCCGAACCCCACGTCCATCTGGAAGAGGTGACCCAGCTTTGAACCTCCGAGCTGCAGCAGGGCCTGGTAGCGCTCTGTCCCACTCCGCAGGTGTCGCCGCCAAGCACGGTAGAACTCTGCGGAGGTCTCGGGCTGGAGAAGTGTTTTCTCCTGGATCACAAGGAAGCAAAGGAAGTCCAGAGTTCTCCCAGCTGCTCTGCGACACTGAGACAGTGACAGTGAGGGAAGACTGTGGATTTTCATCTTAGCTCTAGTGTTGCTCTCTGAGCACTGGGTAGGCTATGGTCCCTGTAGACTTGGTTTCCAGATGAGGGAACTGGGAATGGGACAGGGAGGGAGGGTCCCAAGGAACCCGGCCATGATTTGAGAATCTCAGTTGTACCGGGATGTTCCCATTGATGAATGCGGACATAGCCCTGCTCTATGAGAGTAAGTCAGGCTTTACTCTGAGCAGGGCAGAGGGATGATGGAAACCTCAGAAAGAGAGAAAGGAATTCAAGGTGACTGTTAAGAATCTGACAGGCTGGGCCTGTCTCCCAACAGTGACACAGGATCATTATACTACCTACCGTATAACCTGGGAGCAGAACAACTCCAGTCTCATCTGGGAGTGCAAGTCAAAGGACTAGTCGTGGAGGAGACCTGCCTGGCCCACCTTTCCGACTTGTTCCACCCAGATTAACTCACCCTCACCATCTGCTTGTTGCTTTTCTTTCTGGGATTGGAGGCAGAAATCTGCCTCTGTTGGTTTAACATGAGAAATAAGGAAGAAGTATGGGTGGTAAGGAGACAGGATTAGAGGTTTGGGCACAGAATCCTACTGGGCTGAAGAGGCTGGGCCTCACCCACCTGGGAGATTTCAGTGGCCTCCTCCTGGGAGGTCCCTCTCTCAGTAGTGTGACAGTTCCAGGGCACAGTCCTCTTTCCTCCTATCTTGTCTTTCCGCTCCAGTGGCTTCAGATGTGATGCAAGGACAATACCCCTGTGGGCAAAAGCCAGCGACTGGAGGACGGACTTAATGCTATCTGTGGATATGAAGTGGCTAGACTTTGCATAATAGAGACTAAACCTATCAACAAGCCAATATGACAATAATAATAGCAGCAACAATAGCTGACAGCTTTTGAGCACCTCCCATGTGCCAGGCACTGTGCTCAAAATCTTACATGTAATTATTTATTTAATTGTAACAATAGTTACTCTCTCTTACAGATGAGGGATAGAAGCTCAGAGAGGTTAAATAACTTGCACAAGATCAGATATGTAGCAGAAGGTAGGGCCAGGACTGAGCCCAGAATTGTCTGACTTCAAAACACATGCTCTTATCCACACTCGTCCACATAGTAACAGGAGCTGAGAAAAACAGCATTAAGCGAACCTGAACTCCTCATAGGAAGCCACCTTCTGTTCCACTGCCCGTAACTTGGCAGCATTCTCCCGTTTGTATTTCTCATCAGCAGCGAGTGCAGCCTGCAGCTCTTTCTCCAAAGCCTTGAAATCAATGATGTTGTTCCTTTCCATGATCTGTTTCCAGGAAGGCAGAGGAAATGGACATCATGGAGGGTCAATATCAGGGAGGAGGATGTGTCTGCATTCTTTGACAGCCTACAAAAATCCCAAAGTACTCTGGATATCTTTCCACTTATCTTGTTGGATGGTGTTACAAAAACACTCAGGGCCCCTGAGTGGCTCAGTCAGTTGAGTGTCTGACTCGATTTCAGCTCAAGTCATGATCCTGCAGTCGTGCGTTTGATCCCCGAGTCGGGCTCTTTGCTGAGCGTGGAGCCTGCTTGGGATTCTCTCTCTCTCTCTCTGCCCCTCTCCCCCTCACGCATGCTCTCTCTCTCTCTCTCAAAAAAATCTAATTCTCTACAGGGGGAGCGGAGTTGCAGTGAGAACTTGCTTAAGACTTGTCACGGAAAGTACAGAGTACTGACTTTCAGTTTAGAGCCCTGTCTTTAAAAAATTTTTTCTTTTTTTTTTAATTTTTTTTTCAAACGTTTACTTATTTTTGGGACAGAGAGAGACAGAGCATGAACGGGGGAGGGGCAGAGAGAGAGGGAGACACAGAATCGGAAACAGGCTCCAGGCTCTGAGCCATCAGCCCAGAGCCTGACGCGGGGCTCGAACTCACGGACCGCGAGATCGTGACCTGGCTGAAATCGGACGCTTAACCGACTGCGCCATCCAGGCGCCCAAAAAATTTTTTCTTAATGTTTATTTATTTTTGAGAAGAGAGAGACAGAGTGTGAGGGGGGAGAGGCAGAGAGAAAGGGAGATATAGAATCTGAAGCAGACTCCAGGCTCCAAGCTGTCAGCACATAGCCGGACATGGGGCTTTAACTCACAAACCACGGGATCATGACCTGAGCCAAAGTCAGACGCTTAACCCACTGAGCCACCCAGGCGCCCCTGGAGCCTTGTCTTAATTTTGTTCTCTGCCTCTAAAAATATTTTAATTTTGGGGCGCCTGGGTGGCGCAGTCGGTTAAGCGTCCGACTTCAGCCAGGTCACGATCTCGCGGTCCGTGAGTTCGAGCCCCGCGTCGGGCCCTGGGCTGATGGCTCAGAGCCTGGAGCCTGTTTCCGATTCTGTGTCTCCCTCTCTCTCTGCCCCTCCCCCGTTCATGCTCTGTCTCTCTCTGTCCCAAAAATAAATAAACGTTGAAAAAAAAATTTAAAAAAATAAATAAATAAATAAAATAAAAAATAAATAAAAATATTTTAATTTTGGTGCTTCTACTGAAGAGACATTTGGGTCTCAGGATTCAGTCCCTTCACCATTCCATATGGGCTCACTCTATAGTGAGGTGCTATGACAGAGGACCTCCCACAGAAGCAGAACTACCATTAACTATACTCTTGAGCCCAGGGATAAAATTTCACCCCTCATTAAATGTTTTTAATGGGGAATGATACTTTCCACCCAAACCAGATGGAATGACTGAGCAGGAAATGAAGCAGAAGTGGCAGAGGAAGGGGCTCTATGATCCCAGTTCCCAAATCCCTCCGTACAGAACAGGGCTGGAGCACAGGTCCCTAGATACTTGAGCAACCTCTTCAGTTCTGCCACTGTACTTCTGCATGTACCTACATGGGTTCTAGTCTGGGCTCTGGCATTTACTTGCTGAGACCTCTCTGAACCTCAAACTTTTGCCGCATTGTGCCAGACTTTGTGGCGGAGCCATCACCAACAGCCCTAGGGCAGGGAAGCAGGAGGTCTGGACCAACCCCTTAGCCCTTCCGCTCCACCCCAGCGTGGGTAAGCTGAACACCTAGAAGGGGTCTGGGCAGGCAAGGAACTGAACTCAGGTGTCCTGGCGCCTGTCCAGTTCTGAGCCCTCCCCAATCATTGAAAGAGAACAAACTTGGGGCGCCTGGGTGGCTCAGTCGGTTAAGCGTCCGACTTCAGCTCAGGTCACGATCTCACGGTCCGTGAGTTCGAGCCCCGCGTCGGGCTCTGGGCTGATGATGGCCCAGAGCCTGGAGCCTGCTTCCGATTCTGTGTCTCCCTCTCTCTCTGACCCTCCCCCGTTCATGCTCTGCCTCTCTCTGTCTCAGAAATAAATAAACGTTAAAAAAAAAAATTAAAAAAAAAAAGAAAAGAAAAGAAAAGAAAAGAAAAGAAAAGAAAGAGAACAAACTAACCCTTCCGCTCCCCCGCCCCTGCCCACCACCCCAGAAGCTCAGGCCTTGGTTTCCTCGCTTTCTTTGGGAATCCCCAGATACGCCAGAACAGCACAGCTCAACGTGGACCACGCCCAGCAGCTGTAGTTGCTCAGCAACTGCGCCAACAGCCTGGCCACGTGATCGTCCCGAAGGCCCCCCCCCTTTCAGGGTGTCTTCAAGGCGCCTGATCAGATTCGTGCCTCCTCAGGCCTCAGTCTCTTTGAAGCAGCCCACATCTTGGTTTGGGGACCCACGACGCCACCTCCTCGGTTCCTGGGTCCGCGGCTGGCATTCCTCCCAGCCGGCCCTCAGGCAAAGGACTGTCCCCGGAGCAGAAACGCGTCTGCGGGGTCCTTCCGAACGGCGGGCGCAGCGGTGCGGCGGCGTGGGGCGGAAGCGCGGTCTCCGGCAGCGGACTAGGAGCATTTGGCTGGGAGAGCGGCAGGTGAGCTGGCGCGGCGTCAGCGTCAGGGGCAAGTTGCTCCGGCTGGGATGAGAAATTAAACAATGTCAGATCTGGAAGGGACGTTGTAAGCTTTCTGCCCCTTTCGCTTTACGGATGGGTAAACAAGCGTGGAGCAAGAAAGGGAAAGAGACGCCCCCCCACACAGCCCGCACCTCGATTCCGGGCTTCCCTCAATGTCGACCGTGCATAAAATTCCTTTCCTGGGCAGAGGTCGTTGTCTTACTGTCCAGTCCCATCTCATCCCTCTTCCATTTCTGACTTCTTCGCTTCTTCTCTACCAAGCTCCCTCCGTCCTTATTCTGTAGCGGGAAGCTGCAGTGAAGTTTGGTCACTAGTTTTGTGCAACTGTGGGCAAGTCAGCTATCTTCTCTGTACCTTGTAAGAGGCATTCATTCATTCAACAGATACTTACCGAGGTCTTGTTTTGTGCCAACACAGTTCTAAGTGAAAAAACAAACAAACGACTTTGCTTAAATCATAGTTGAGGAGATGATAGTGAAAATGACGTGCACAGATACATGTGAAGGAGGGACTAGTGCTAATAGTAATAAAACAGTGAAAGTCGGGGGTTGGAGAATGTGTGTAGAGGGACTATATTTGTTGTAATGTTTATTTTGAGAGAAAGAGTGGGGGAGGGGCAGAGAGAGGGAGAGAGAGCCCAAGCAGGCTCCACGCTGCCAGCACAGAGCCGGATGAGGGGCTTGATCTCATAAATCGTGAGATCCTGACCTGAACCGAAAATCAGGAGCGGACACTTAACCTACTGAGCCACCCAGGCGCCCCAGGGAGGACTATTTTTATTTTAGAGTGACATTGTCAGAGAGTGACATTTTGGAAGGGACCTGAGTAAAATGAAGGAACACGGTATAATATCCAAGGGGAGAGCATTTGAGAAGAGAATAAGTGCAATGACTCTGGAGTAGACATTAGCTTGGTTTGTTCCATTAGCAGCCTTTTCTAAAAATGTGTGCGATTTCATGGATCTTGGGAGAATGAAATGAGCACAGATGTGATAGCTCTTTGGAAGTAAAAAGAATCTCTATACACATGAAAGTTACTATACTTACATTTAGTTACAAGTTTTAGAGCTAGTCCTTTACTTGAGATAAATATCACTATCTCAGAATTAAGTATTTGAAACATTTATCCACTTCTACTTATGCAAGGTACTATCTTAGGCATTGGCAGCTAGGGACAAGGAATACAGGTCTCTGTATTCAAGAATGGCCAGGGGCACCTGCGTGGTTGTCGTTTAAACATCCGACTTCAGCTCAGATCATGATCTGTGGTTTGTGGTTTCAAGCCCTGCAGGGGGCTCTGTGCTGACAGCTCAGAACCTGGAGCCTGCTTCAGATTCTCTGTCTCCCTCTCTCTCTGCCCCTTCCCTGATCACACGCTTGTGCCTGTGCGCGCGCGCTCTCTCTCTCTCTCTCTCCTTCTCTCTCTCAAAAATAAACACTAAAAAAAAAAAAAAAAAAGAATGGCTAAAATATAATGCTTGTTAACATTTATTGAGCCTTGGGTGGGGGCGGGGGAGAGAGAGAGAGAGAGAGAGAGAGAGAGAGAGAGAGAGAGAGAATGAATCCCAAGGAGGCTCCACACTCAGCATGAAGCCAAACACAGGGCTTGATCCCACAACCCTGGGATAATGACCTGAGCCAAAATCAAGAATTGGACACTCAACTCTTGATTGACGGACAATCAAGAGGATGCTCTACCAACTGAGCCACCCAGGCACCCCTAAGTCTCATACCTTTTTATGCAGTGGAGATTACTCACTCCATTTTCCAGTTGAGGAAATAGATTTGGAGGAGTGCAGTAACTTACTTGAAGTACATAGTTATTAAGTGACAAAGTTAGGATTCAAATCTAGGTCTTTGAATTCTTTTAACCCTTACCCCACCTCTGGTCTGTTATTACTTATAAACTGTAGGGTTGTTGGAGAGGTTAATTAGTAGTAAACTCATTCATGGCAGAATTAAATGCTGATTAAGGTACAAAAGGCTATAGCAGTATAGGGTAGTGAGAAATTGAGGATCTAGAAAAGCTGGAAGGAGGTGGCATTTGAATTATTACTTTAAATAGAATTTCCATAATTGAAGTAGAGAAAACCCAGAAAATACTTATTAATTACAATGATAAAACTAGTAACTTGACGTTGGAAAAGTCTGGGAAATATCACCATAATTGAGTGATTAAATTAACATCACCACTAATGAGACAAATTAAAATCATGAACCACCTGATAAGAGATGCACTGAAAGGAACCCTGCATTACTTCTGAGATATTCTGCCAAAAAAACAAAACCTGAATCTAATCATAAGGAAATATCAGGCAAGCCCAAATTAAGGGACATTTTACAAAAATCAATAGCCTGTAACCTTCAAAAGTGTGGTGTCATAAAAGTCAAGGGGAGACTGAGGAGCTGTTGTTGAATGCAAACATGGGATCCTAGGTTGGCTTTTTTTGCTGTGCAGGACATTATTAGAACAGTTTGTGGGGGTGTCGGGGTGGCTCAGTCAGTTAAGCATCCTCCTTTTGGTTTGGGCTCAGGTCATGATCTCATGGTTTGTGGGTTTGAGCCCTGCGTCGGCTCCACAATGACAATGCAGAGCCTGCTTGGGATTCTCTCTCTCCCGCTCTTTCTGCCCCCCCCCCCCCCCCCCCCCCCGCTCATGCTTGCTCTAAATAAATAAATAAACTAACAAACTTTAAAAAAAATCAATTTGTGAATGTTGAATAGAGGTCTGTGGATTAGGTGGTAGTAATGTGTCACTATTCATTTTCTGACTTTGATTGTTGTGTTTTGGTTATGTAGGAAAATGTCCTTGTTTGTAGGAATCACACACCTGAAGCAGAGGTTGGAAAACTTTTTCTACCAAGGGTCAGATAGTAAACATTTTAGGCTGGTTGAGCCATATGGTCTCAGTTGCAGCTACTCAACTTTGCTGTTAACAGTGTAAAAGTAATCACAGACATTATAAATGAATGAGCATGGCTGTGTTCCAATAAAGCTGTTTTTATAGACACTGAAATTTGAATTTTATGCAATTAATTTGCACATATCATGAAATATTCTTTTGATTTTTTTTTTCAACTTTAAAAATAAAAGGCATTTTTAGCTTGGGGGCTGTATGAAAACCAGCAGTAGTCGAGATTGGCCACAGGGCATAGTTTGCTAAACTCCTACTCTCAAGTATTAGGGGGTGATGAGGCACTGTCAGCAACTTATTCTCAAGTAATTTAGGAAAAAAAATTATTTGTGCTACTTTGCAACTCTCTGGTATTAAATTATTTTAAAGTTAAAATCTTTTTAGTATTACAAGAATAGGAGAAGAGAAGGGAAACAGGGACAAGTAGAACAGCGAGGAGGGGAAAGTACAGGGCTTTGGGAGGAGCAGTCAGTGGGTGGCTGTAACTGGAGAGGAGATGTGTGGACAGATACAGTCAACTGTAAGGTTAGAAATACGGGGCTGTGTTGTGGAGACTTTGGCTACCTTGCCAGAATCTAACTCCTCTTTTCCTTGAATTTTAGCATCATGGATACCGACTTATATGACGAGTTTGGAAATTATATTGGACCAGAGCTTGATTCTGATGAAGATGATGATGAACTGGGCAGAGAGACCAAAGATCTTGATGAGGTAAAACAAATTTATTGCAATTTTCATCTTTCTCTTAAAAAAGAAAAAAAAAGGGGCTCCTGGGTGGCTCAGTCGGTTGAGCGTCCGACTTCAGCTCAGGTCATGATCTTGCGCTCCGTGAGTTCGAGCCCTGCGTCGGGCTCTGTGCTGACAGCTTGGAGCCTGGAGCCTGTTTCAGATTCTGTGTCTCCCTCTCTCTCTGACCCTCCCCTGTTCATGCTCTGTCTCTCTCTGTCTCAAAAATAAATAAACGTTTAAAAAAAAATTTTTTTTTTAATAAAAAGAAAAAGAAAAAAAAGAAAAAAAAGTACTGGATCATCTGTGCTCCCATAATATCCTGTGTACATCTGTCACATTGCACCTTTTTTTTAAATAATTATTTTATGTTTATATATTTATTCTGAGAGAGAGACAGCACAGACCCCAACATGGGGCTCGAACCCACAGACTGTGAGATCATGACCTGAGCTGAAGTCAGACGATTAAGTGACTGAGCCACCTAGGTGCCCCAGGTTTTAATTTTTTTTTATAAGCCAGTTGTTTCCTTTTTTCTTTTTTTTTTTTTTTTAATGTTTATTTATTGTGAGAGGGAGGAATGGAAGAGAGAGAGAATCCCGAGCAGGCTCCACGCCCAACAAGGGGCTCAATCCCACAAGACTGGGGCCATGACCTGAGCCAAAATCAAGAGCCGGATGCTCAAACTACTGAGTCACCCATGTGCTCGATCCAAGTTTTTCTTTTTAAAAATATCTTAAAGAGAAGGGTGCCTGGGTAGCTCAGTTGGTTGGGTGTCTGACTTTGGCTTAGGTCATGATCTCACGGTCCATGAGTTTGAGTCCTGCATCGGGCTCTGTGCTGACAGCTCAGAGCCTGGAGCCTGCTTCGGATTCTGTCTCCCTCTCTCTGCCCCTCCCCCTCTCACTCTCTGTCTCTCAAAAATAAACATTAAAAACAATTTTTAAGAATATTTTAAAGAGATATTTTTCACCTTACA